GCCGCGCATTGCCGAGGCCACGGTGGGCGGTCGGGGGGTCGAGGCTGGGGTCGCCGGCGTGCGAGGGGAGGAGGCGCATTGCAGCGCGGAGACACGGACTGGACCAAGGCCTGCGGGGAGGAAGCGTGCCGCCCTGGAGTCCCACCAGCAGGGCTCCGCAGACACCTGTCACCTTGGCCGGCGCTGCCTTCTGGAGATTCTACCCAGCGACAACCAGGCCCCCTTGGCGGGTAGTGGCAACCGGTCAGACGCTGTATTTTGGCGATCTCACCCTCTTGGTCAGATCTGCAAGTGATCCAAAGTGTGCGTCTCATCCTCTCTCCCAAGCCCCAGGCCTGCAGGTCATGATAATGCTTGCTGTTTCAAACTCTGGTTATCCCTCACCGAAGTCACCTCCCCTCCCAACCGCCTTCCGTTCCTGGCAGCAGACCTAACCAGGCAGGATGCCCAAACTAAACATGTGGACACCATTCCTACTTTTTTAACTTAATTCAGATCCGTTGATTCCTGTCTAGACTTTGTGGTCAACTCCCACACACCTGACCACTTCCTCCACTCTAGGTCATTCTACTGAGAGTGCCAGGCCAATGATCCTTAGTCAAGCCAACATCTTTGGACCTGTTTTTCCTCCTCTGCAAAATGGAGATGATACTTTCTGAGTTTGTTGGGAAGAATCAGTGAGCTAGCACATATAGCCCACTGCCTAGTGCAAGCCAGGTACTCAAAAAATACTCTTGCTGTCTGGTCCTCTTTTAGGTGCCAGCCTCCTCAAGGATTCTCTTTGCTTTTGGAATCCAAGAGCAGAACAAACTCATAGCAGGTGACCTAGTCTACTGTCTTCACTTCCGGGCAATTTAAGAGTTTTTCATGAGCACAGCAATACCTTAAACATTAGTCTAGTACCATTATGGATAATAGTCACACTTTGTTACAATAGCAGAGTTTCACAATTGCCAGTTTTATACTGGTTAGCCCCAAGGGAAGCTTGAGAGGATCATAATTGTGATAGTCATACTGGCCATGATGTATC